ATTTAAGAGCAATCTGTGAAATATCTAAAGAGTAAAGTGATGAATGAATAAATAAACTAATCTCCATAACAATTTAACTCCATAACTCGAAGAGCTTCTCACAGGAACTGACGAACCTTTAGCTTCCGAGTGCCAAGGGTTGAAATAACGATCACAAATGTTATTTATTTATTTATGCAGGATCATGTCCTACCGCACATACTCGCAGGAGCAACTAAAATAATCGCTCAACGTTCTAAATAAAAATTCACCAGAGTAAGAAGTGACAATAAAAGATAAAAAGAAAACAATAGTTGTTTGAAACGTCGATGCAGTATTGGCCATTCAAGTCTTGCGTCAACGTACCGATCGTTTCGCAAAGTGTGTACCATGAAAGGCTCCCGATTAAGAATCTTTTTATAGTGCCTTCGAGATGACAGATGATTGGCGACATGTCGATGCTAATAAGAATGCGGGGTTGCGTCTATGCAGTTCTACTAATTAGTTTACTAAGCCTCAGTGTGACATTTTCATCGGTACAGTAAGTCGTTCAGAACCGATTGTTCCGAAGGGAATCGTTGGTCGTTTACTTACCGTGGTATTGTGATTAATTTGAACGAAAAGCTTTCTTAACGAATCACCACCGCAATGGTAATTATCCCTTTGTATTCCAAGTGTAAAAATGAAGATGGTGTAACAGTAATATTTTTTTAAGTCAATGAAGAAATATATCGTATTTATTTAGTGATTCTATCGATCAATGTTGTTCTCTTATTACTGAAAGTGGTTTAATAGAGTTGCCAAATGCAAAGTTTGTTGTGTACGTGAAATAATTGTTACCACTTCCTTTGCAGGATGACATTCAGCTCAGCAAGGACCAAATCGCACGTGAGTACCTATAACTTTAAATTAGGATCAATAATGCACGCTGGAGAAGAAGCTTCTTAATTAATTATTCACTCGCAGAATTGAAGATGGGTTTCGATGCCTTCGACCCTGAGAAGAAGGAGATGATCAAGACTGACATGGTCGGCACCATCCTATCCATGATGGGAATGAAAATCCCATCTGAAACTCTGAACGCGGTTATTGCGGAATTCGACACGTTTGGTATGTTAGAATGAAATTAATTTTATATGCTTCCCAAACATGTTTCAATTTTTATTAAAACAAAATGAAATAATTTTCATGAAATGTAAAGCAACCAAAGTTATAAATTAGATTTTATTAAGTTGCACTAATTGCTCTGAAATTTCAAATAAATCATAAATTCCTGGGGTTTCATCGTTTGCTAGGATCTGGAGAGCTGGACTTCCACGAGTTCTGTGGGCTGGCGTCCCGATTCATGGAGGAGGACACCGACACCGAGGCGATGCAGCAAGAATTGAGAGAAGCCTTCCGTCTATACGATAAGGAAGGAAACGGTTACATCACCACAGACGTGTTCAGAGACATCCTCCACGAACTAGACGATGCATTGTCTCCAGAGGAACTTGACATGATCATCGAGGAGGTGGACACTGATGGATCTGGCACACTCGATTTCGAAGGTACGTGTCGGCATCCTCGATCGACCAGAGATACAATATTCTTGTGTTGCTCTTGACAGAGCTCGGCAAAATTCTTATCTTCACATGAATCTACAATAACTTTTCTTAAATTTAGAATGATCGAGTTTAGTGTTTCGTAATGGATAGATCGAAAATCCCTTTTTCCAATAGAATTCTATTATTCGACTGAAATTTTGCCCATCTCTGACTCTTGAGTACTATTTCCACCTCTTGTGTTTTCAGTTCGATTCAGTTCAGATCTCCTGCTTTGTCTTTTCTATTTCTCTTGTCCTTCGCGATTCCTCGCAGAAATCCTCAAAATGTTCTACAGAACTTAAAAACCAGAGTTAGACATTTTATTTGATAAAAAATAAAACCAACTTGATTTTGATCAAATCCTAAATATTGTCTTCCATGCTACATTTGAAATTTTCCAACCACGGAAAATTTGAGAGCTTCGAGTTACCGAGAGCCACGGATTCTTGTTGCAGAATTCATGGAGGTCATGACAGGTTAAATTATCAGCTTTGGCACGAAGCGGCGGTCTCTCGTGCCGGCCACGACCACGAGCTACGAAGCCGCCCGTTTCACACCGTGGAGACTGCGATTTATTGGAGATGTATGTGCCGTTGGCAAAGTATGAAGTTAAAGGTTCGTAGGTGATGTCTGCTGAGCACGCAACGTGGATACAGTTGAGAATGTATTTCTGCCAGACCCGTCGCTTTCGGAGTCACAATCGGCTAAAATGTATTTCTATCTACGCCGCGGTTAACTCGGGCGATATTCTAGAGAATATTGTTCCCAGAAACCGGTTCATATCGATCGATATAAATTGACGTTTCTACGTTGCGATATAGATCTCGATCTACGAACGCAATCTTCTCTCACTGCGTTGGAAGTTCGCGCAAAATTCAACGTCGTAGTGAATTCTGTCGGAACTCGAAGATTATAATTAAACAAAAGCGATATCTTTCGATTGAAAATATTGTTCATCGTGCTTCTTAATTTTATACTTTGCCAACGAGTCGTGAAATTGATTGCAACAGTGACAATACTCGTAAGCGATTAAATTGTGAAACGCCTCAGACCACCACGATACGATCAATGTGACTTCATGTCAAGGAAAAGTAATAAAAGTATAAAAAAAAACAGCAAAACCAATCCGTGTATATTATTGTGTACATTCGTCTTCAATTGGTATTTAAGCGTAATTCTTTTTATATATGAATACATCCATACCGTGTAATATGGTAAAGAATATAGAAATTAAATTGATGGCAACCCACAGTGTGTACATTATTTATCCCTATTATTCATCCACCCAAGATTACACATACAGACATTATTAATAAAATTCCATAAAATATTTGAAGGTGTAAATAAACAAGGACTGTGAACAGTGACTCAAAATGAATCTTCTCAGGATTTCATACAAATGAATTAGTTTTAGTAAAATATTTTGGAATAAGAAACTCATCTCTTACTTCATACAAAGATAGAATTAACTTTCAATTACTATGCTCAAGTCTGTCCAGACTCTCAGTGTGCGTACAAATCCAACAAAACAGCAATCAGATCTACAGAAACTAACATTTCGCATAAATTGTTACATGCTCCCCCCTCGCCCCTCCAAATTAGTCATCTCGACCTTCACAGTGGAATGCAAATCATATAAGCATATACTTAGGACCACTTCAGAGTTGAAGAGCCTACTTGCAACCTGTGCAGACAGTGATCCGATCTTTAGAAACTAACACACAAACTATTACGTGCTCTCCACAACATAGGTATAGGTTTTAATGAAGTGTTACATGCTCTATAATAATGCCACGCATTATCTTGTTAACCTGCAACGAGCAGTTTCTACTACTACGATCTGCGAAACTATCATTATCTAGACTGTAGCGGGTGGTAGTTGCTTAACAGAAAGTTAACAGTAGGTTGTAAGGAAGTGGCAACGGGCAATATGCAGGAATGAATGTTAATATCTCCTAAATATAATGGCTGGTGCTAGACTTTATGAGCTTATAATTAGCCACCTGAAAATAGAAGAGATTCGGTTATTACGCCGCATTGTCTTGATCTGCGGTTTTGCGCCAGGCGATGAGCCAACTCCCCCTATTGTCGCATCATTTTTCCTCGCCATATTGATCGCGAATCATATTGCGGCGCGGAAGCTTCGTTTGGAGGATCCTTGCGAAACGGAACTTGATCGTAGTATCGAGGAATTTCTAGAGACGAAGAATTTTATTTAGGTTTACAGTGGCTTTCGAATTTGAAGATCTCTTTTATCTTTATACAAAAATGAAGCTTTCCACATACAATTTCACTTTGCTTTAAAGTACAGACGTATTTTAAGTAGGACATAGTGTTATGTATTTTATAAAATGTAAATTTTAGACATATATATTGGACTCTTCCCAACGTTACTTCATACTTAAAATGTATATGAAACTAAAGGAGCGTATACCAAATTGAAGACTGACCAACGTTTTATGTAGTAACTCAACAAATAGTATGAATAGTTTTGAAATCAATTGTACTCTGTATCAAATGGAATTTAATTAGCTACGATGGACATAAAGATTGTCTATCGTAAATATAATTAAACGTTTAAATTTACATCCATTCTAATTCTCATTTGAAATTACATTTTATGATGTAATATTTCACTAGCTTATAAATGATGAAATTGAATTTATATTAAAATTTATCAGTAAGAGAAACAACATTTACTTGCCCAACTATTGTTCGCAATTATATAAAAAGAAATGAAAGGTGCCGTATCGTTATGTGCGTGAGCTGGCGAAATGTAAATAATTCTGTTTTCTAATAGTCATGTGTCACGTAAGCCGTGTTAAATCATCATTTATAATGGATACATGTGTCTGTTCCTTCGCTATCTAATTGGAAAAATATTTCGACGAATGGAATATTAAATCGTAATATATTAGGTAACACTGTTGTAGAGTATTAAAACTTAGAGTTTAAAGAAGTTATAAAATTTCTAGATGATTATTCAGACGATACAAGTCCAATCTAATGTTCAAATTAAAAATTAGTAGTTTGTTTCAAGCATGTGTTTAATATATATTAATAAGGTTGTATAAAAATAATCAGCAAATTTTAATACGTTTAATATATTTTAATGTACTTTTTGCAGAAAGTATTTCAGCTATGGGATTAATGAAATTCGAGGTACTCACAGGGTAGCTTGCAGCTCGAAGAATGCCATTTCAGTCTCCGTTGAATCGAGGGGAAATAGGAGAGACAAGGATGCCAGCAGGAAGAGTTTCAAAATCGAGTACGTTGCCTCTGAGCACGCACAATTGAAGCTCCGCGTCTGCGAAAACCGGGTGGGGAGTGTCCTCGATGAATTTGAAAACCACTAGAGTTCCTAGGTTGTAGATACTATTCGGTCAATCACGTGCCAGAAGATCATCGTAATGTCCACATAAAACAGAACTCCACAGCCAGAATTTGGTGCATACCCGGATAAGCCGTCGACGCTGTCGTGTGTTAACACCAAATTTTTCTGTAAATACCTAACAACCACATCGCCATGGTAGGTTGAAAACATCATAAACACAACTATTTTACAATGTACTCATTTTTTACACTTTATTGAGTACATATTTAGTATCACAGCCTTAATTTCCAAGTTAATCCTGATTTCTTGTTGATTATAGACTGTCGTAAATCATCATTAATTTAATCAATTTTGAATTTACTTATTGTGTAATTTTTGATACCGCGTAACAAATGAAACATTTACAACATATAAACATTTATAATTTTAACAAAACTATGTTTGATAATTGCAGGATGACCTGACCAAGGATCAAGTTGCCCGTGAGTAATTCAGTTCAATTTCGTCCGAAGCTAGAATTCATGCCTTTTATTACGTCAAATATAATTGTGAATGCTGTCGTTGCAGTCCTGAAGAAGGCATTCGACGCCTTCGACCACGACAAGAAAGGCAGCATCGGCACAGACATGGTGGGCACCATATTGACCATGTTGGGCTACGAGCTCAGCGAAAAGACACTGAAGGAAATCATTAATGAAGTGGACGAAGACGGTAAGAAAATGGCCTCGAACTCCACGCGTAATTGACAGAAAAAGAGGACAATGTAGTATAATTTCCGTGTACAATCAATTGCATCGCAAGTGAAGTGATGTTTTTCAAACTGGAACACACACTGTGAGCAACTCGAGTGCTGTTTACTCAATAAGACGATCATTGCTAACAGTGAATATTATTTTTAAAAAATTCTGAAATATTGGACCACTTTATAAGTCTTTTCATATTTAACTATGGGAACTTTGAGCTGACTGTAAATATATGTAAACAGAGTTCTGATAGATCTAGTCTCAATGAGTCAATTGATGGTTTATATTCGATCTGCACATGCACCTTCCTAAAATACAATCTACATAAACAAGAATACGTAAAGACTCATGTAAAGGATCTGACAGCACAACTGAAAACAGAATTTGGGAAATTTATTTTTGGAGATACCGAATGAGAGTGGAACAACAAATACCGTGACAAATCTTGGATTATATAGTTTTGAATTACTTTGAAACAAAATTTTATTCCCATACAAATTTTCACAAACAATTAGCGTGGCGCTCAACGTGTTAAAGAGATGTTGCTTATCCAATTAACATCTAGAGTCTTAAATAAAGCTTCTGACTCCCACAGGATCCGGTCAGCTGGAGTTCGAGGAGTTCTGCACCCTGGCCGCCAGATTCCTAGTGGAGGAGGACTCCGAGGCGATGCAACAGGAGTTGCGCGAGGCCTTCCGGTTGTACGACAAGGAAGGCAACGGGTACATCACCACAGAGGTGTTCCGCGACATTCTCCACGAGCTGGACGACAAACTGACGCCCGCGGAACTGGACATGATGATCGAGGAGATCGACGCCGACGGCTCCGGAACGCTGGACTTCGACGGTCAGCAGCAGCCTAGAATTTTCATAACACGTCGATCAAACTAATTACCAACGCGACCCGGGCAGCCGCGTGCCAAGAACAACTAACGCAGGAAATCTTACCGCGCGTTGGAAATTGCTGGGAACGTTTAACGCGGCTTGCCAACAATCTATCAGTTCGAATTAATTGATTAACGCGTGGCGTGTTCGGCGCAGATGACTAACGTCTTGTAATCACCACGGGTTTCCGACAGCCCACAGGGTCGCCTCAGGCAAACACACCTCAGATTTGCCTATTTATAGTCGACATCGATTAACTGTCGCGAGTAATTAATAACGTGGACTATTAATAATTTTGCATTTGATGAACCCAAGATCTTGGCATTGACTACGATGTCCTTTGTGGAGGATTGTCCCATATTCGTATACATATTCATAATGAAAAATTCATTTGGTAATATCGAAACTATTATTTAATTTAGTCAAACTTCGTCCATAGACATAGAGGGTACAAATATTTATAGGATTGACTATAGGTGGTTACTAACTACAATGCTTTTCTCTACCTCTACTTTCAATAATTTCGATTAATAATTTCTATTTCAGAGTTCATGGAAGTCATGACTGGAGGAGATGACTAGACTGCGAGATGATTCACCAGGATGGATAAAGGCTACGATTAAGTACAACTATCAAACGCTCTTTGCACTTTTCTTGGAGACAAAGGGCAGAGAGTACGCCGCAGGTCGACGTTCATCATTGTCGTTGACCAGTCGCGAGTACTTCTCCATTGGATGATCAGCGTTTTGATGTTACTATACGCTGTACAACAATGACACTCTGTCGTGAAAACTTCGGAGGATGGGAATGAGGCTCAATAAAAACTCCTTGATACGAAACAAATTTTTTTCTTAATTAAAACGTATTCCGAACCAACGCAGTTGTTGAAACGTTGTGTAATACTTTCTGTAATCTTGATTTTACTAAATTTTTATAACATCTGAGTGAACTCTGCGAGCTTGTAGAATCGACTAGACGCCTGAGTAACTGCAATCGAGTACGCTATCCTGTATGAAGTGCAAAGTGTCACGGGGGGCTGTGAAATAAAAAAGTATTGGAAACAAGGGAAATTAAAACGAGTGATTCTTTGTTCTAGTTAGAAGCCCCCATTGTCGCTCCTGAGATCATATAAATTTAGTAGTTGATCTTGTAGATCGATACTGTATGTTGACATTTCGTTTTATTTCTTAATGGAGCGCAGAGTTAATGTTGCGTTTACACGAAAGCTCCGACAATAATAATAAACCGCGCGTTAAATAACGATTAAGAAAATTCTTTCTGATCGCCAGAAGACATTAAAGAATATCAACATTCTTGGCAGACATTCGTTTGCGTCGTGTCTACAAGTGCAAATTTCATTTTCCGTTCACTCTTACGAAAAGTGCACCTGTATGCAAATTTGATAAATTCCTGCTAGTGTTCGAGTCAATGCATATTTGATTAATCTGTACTTCGAGCACAATTCTGGTTAAGTGTTCTATAATTTGTTTTTAATGATATTGACCTCGGCACAGTAATGGATTCCACGAATTAACTATACGTCGCTTGTAACAGAAATTTGCTATCAAGGGTCGGTGTTGAGAAATAGAAACGCAAAAATGTGTCACTGGCAGAAAAGTTACTGGTGCTATTTGCGAACTTTGATTCGCTCGATCTGTCGTCGGATGACTTTATCACAAAGTTAATGTTCTGTGTATCCGATACTACGGCCAAATTTGCAAACCACAGCGGGTGCCAAACAGAAATAAGCGTGTAAATTCATGCATCAGTTACTTTATGACTCAATCCTCTGTTCATAAGACAACACTTGCGAGCATGATTTAATAGACATCTAAAGAACCTCCTATTTTATTAAGGGGTTAGGTCTAGTCAGCGGCGTAAAAGAATGAATATTTTAAATAATTTTTTTTTACCGTAGTTTAATATATCTTATAAAAGTGACAGTACTAAGTTATTATACAATATTTTAACTTTATTCGAAAAACGTGTATCTTATACCTAATTTCAGTGATAATATATATTTTTATATCTCGGTAACACCCCTAAATTGGGCTTCCCATTTTAATATCAGTTCGTGTCGAGTGCAGAAATTAACTAAATATATTCCACCTCTGCAATTGAAGGCGAAGCTCTACTCGACCATGATTAGATCCGTATCTTCTGGAATTCCGGACGGTGCTCGAGACTTCGCATAGGAATTTCCTGTCAGAGATTGAAAGGAGCAATCACGGTGTAGCTCAGCGAACGGAATTGGACCAACAGAAGTCATACCAAATCGGGCATCTGAAATGTCCAGAGATGTCATTATATCACGGCAACTCCCACGTAGCCGGGTAATCAACTTCGAATGAAAATGGTTTGTCTAGACCAGATGCTGTTCACTCTATATTCGGTACACTTCGACAAGACACCACTGGGGTGCCGAGCAAAATTATTATAGCCAACGAAACGCGAGGGATTTCGCAATCACGTCTATCAGAAGTGGGCGAGTACGGTGGTCCATTGTAAATCAGGGTTGGGGTTGAATTCAGTTTTTTATTATTCTTAAATCGTTAAATAGATAACTCTTTCGCGAACTGAAGGAACTCCGACCTGGAATCAAATGTAATCATTTTAGAAATAAATGCAGATGAAATGGTAATGATTGAGTTGTAGACAGAATTGTTTCTTATTAATTTTATATACCGTTAGATAAAAGCTACATCTATATTTATGCATTCTACAACATTTATTTGAATCTATATGATAAAGGGAATTTAAAAAAACTGTATACATTATTTCGTCGCATTTCTCAACTTTTTGTCTTATGCAATCAATGGCTCACGTACCTAATAGTTTTTCATTCTAATTGCGATTACTGAGTCTCAAAATTCGGGTTTAAAAAGGTTAATTCAGTAGGACCTGTTACGCAGAAAAATCGCCCACTTATCATGGCACCGCCAAAAGCGGCATTATTTCTATAGTTTACTGCCGTTTCTGTCAGCGAACTCGTTCATATCGGAATATTTCAATATTGGATACGTGATTCGTGATATTTTCAACGAAAGAAATGCGCCTTTCACTGGTCAAGCTCGACCAGTTGGCGTCCAGCGCGCTTACAGTTAAAATCTACATTGTAGAACGGGCGTTCGTAGAGGAACGAATGACACTAATTAAGGCGAACGTGGATCTCATTAATGTTTCGTGATCAAGATAAGCCCGAAAGGTGAGCGTTAAAAGTGTCTCGAGTTGGAATATAAAAAAACTAGGGGGAATGTCCGAATGTTTATCAAAAGTTACCTGACAATTTTATGTTGCCCAATTATGATAAATCGATAAGATAACTGCCAGTACGGATACTATAATTTTCATGTTGCAAAAGCCAGTGCGTACTAGAGTTTAATTAAATTTCAATTATATGGTGCGTGTATGCCTCGAGCAAGACATGGAAAACTATACAGTTTTTCGCTAACGCTATTTAATTAAAATGAAACCATTTTATTGAAGAATGAGTATGCGTACGGGTTATCGAGTAGCATGCAGTGACTACGAGAGGATTACTTATCCTCACGCGACAAAACACGGACGAGCGTGTCAATTATCGCGATAGGTATCGTGAGCGGAACCTTTAATTAATCGCTAATCGATGTTTTAGCACTTAAGCAGGATGCCCTGACGCAGGTTATTTCCATTGGTGGATGTCCAGAACTAAGGTGTCATTATTTATCATCATATTTCATCGCATTTCTCAATTTTTTGTTTTATGGGTGGCCTAGCGTATGCAACTCTGGAATCGAACGAAATGCGATACTTTTCTTTAGTGCCCAACGATTCCGTTCGTTGGAACACTAGATAAACGTGCTGGTGTACGTCCAGTGATGCGATTTTCGTTTGGACCTTTTGAAAATCGTGGTGTAGCATGCTCAAACTCTAGAATAGATCGAAGTACGATAGCTTTCCTCTGTGCTCATCGATTTCGTTCGCTGAAACACTAGGTAAACGTGTTATCGATTTGTGCAATGAACAGCTCAAATAATAATCTAATGATGTCAACTCCTTTTCTTTGAATATGAAAATTAAGTTGTATCTAATAACAAATCCTGACACTATGAGATTGAGTTTAAAAAAGCCCTGTCGCAGTTGATTGGAAGGACTTGTTTTTAACGGGATAATTTACAGTAATTAAAGTTACTCACGCCAAGTAATCACACGCTGACGCGTGAAAGTGTGTGAGCAAATTGTTAAAAAACTTCATTCTTTCCTGCTTGACAATAATTACAGCTGGTGAAAGTTAGACAATTATTGGGTGCGATCAAATGCAACGAGTTTCCTGATTATTCCAATAAAATGATAACACGGAGCACCGGATCACGCTACATTAAATGATTTATCTTTACACGCATTAAATCGGTAGAATTATAGCGAAACGCGCGAGTCAGACTTTGGGAGAATGGTATTGCGTTTATGGGAAGTCTGTAATCCTCCGGTGCAGTAATTCCAGTATAACTCATAATTAGAATATAACAAAAAAAAAAAAAATATCAGAGATCTCTCTGGTGATCCCAGCCACGATCTATCTATCGCGAGATTCACAGGATTTCGTGTGCGTCTGGTGGAGATAAACGTTCTCTCACTCGAGATCTTGCTTTCGATAGTTCATGGAGTAGGAGTCATCCACCGCGCGGTAATTACACGCTTCGTATTGAAATATTCGGTATTCTATGGGAATAAAAGTCACGGTTTCTGACGCGAGGGTACACAGCTGAATTCGGATACTTGTGCCACTGAATTGTGGGTATTATCGGGCCTCTAATGCAATTTTCAGAAGAAAAAAGATATTTTAGACTTAGCATCGAGTCGATCAGGATCGCGCTTCCACCTTTCGCCAATCGCTACACTCGATCCGATTTTTCCACGAAGCTGCCTGAACGCAGCTGTAGCGCAGTGGAGGTGTCTCTAACAGGATCTTCTTCCGCACTCCGATAAAATTCAATAGCACTGGAAATCGTATAGCCATTCGATGTCCAATAAATCGATTAAGTTCATCGACGAGGGAACTGTATCTAGCACTTACGACCAGTAGTGAAAATGGCAAACGCGCCATAGACATATCAATGCCACCGGTGTAATCGTCTATTGGAATTTATTTATCACTTTCGTTTCTATTAGATTATCTGAAGTGCTTGGGAGTGCTCGGACGCTATTAAACGTCCGTTTACTCGTAATGCGCGTAATGCCGTGGAACTTTCTCCGTCGTTTACGTACTCGGACCGTGACACCTTTTAAAAATAGGATTAACCAACTGTGAAACGTTCTCGTCTCCTGCAGAGATGGGTCACCTGCGACGCTCTCTTTTTTTGCTAGCAGCTTAAGTCGCCGCGAACCATTTCCTGATTGGAAAGTAACGGACAGCAACGTGTGGTAAAATATGTAAAAAGTTCTCCGTCTCGATTTAACAAAAAATTCAGAATATTAAAGAGGTAGAAGCTGTCTGTTAATGAAACTTAGTGTCTGTAGATCGCTCGTTGTGCAACCAAATTATTAATCACGAAATTAAAACTGTATCGACGAAATTAAACTGACGTGGAAGCTGGTCCTAACTGTTTTTATCGAGCATTGCTCAGCAGAGGTATTAAGTCGAATTAGATTGTATGTCTATTTTAAGCGGCGATTTTGTACGGGAACAATGGTACGTGTTCATTAATCATAGAGTTACTAGCCCACGATCGCTTTATTTCAAACGAGGCATTCAACCTACCGCGAAACTTTCACTATTCATTAGGCATTTAGACATACACTACGATTGGGGTCATTTAATAGGTCATGTTACACGTTATTACAAGGCACCACCTGACTTGGGACTGTGAGTCTCTGAATCATGCGTAGCACTGGTACAGAGCAACACGTCATCGAGGGTGAAATGACACACTTCGTGACGGATAGAAGGTAGCCTGACGAGATATGAGAAGTAAAACTTTTAGAGAGGTCCTATTGCTGGTGCGAAGAGTCTCGTTTCGGAAAATAAATATGGCGAATCAGAATTAATTTAGGTGTTGTGTTGATCCTTTTTAAAAGAGTGGTGCGAACTTTCTTTTGC